GCTGCAGAAAGAGTCAGGAGCCCAGAGCGAGGGGGCAAAGGAGGTGAGGGGGTGGGGGCAGAAAGTGGAAATGAAAGCAGACAACAGAACATTGTTAGAGATCAGGAAAGGATGTGAAAAGAGACAATTTTAAAGAAGAAAATTTTTTGGTCGCTACCCGGAATCGAACCCGGGACCTTTGAATAAGAGGCCAACACCTTAACCTCTAGGCCACGAGAGCCCCCTGTGTGAGAGAGAGAGAGAGAGAGAGAGAGAGGAGAGAGAGAGAATGAGAGAGAGACAGACAGACAGACACAGAGAGAGAGAGAGAGAGAGAGAGAGAGCGAGAGAGAGAGAGAGAGAGCGAGAGAGAGCGAGAGAGAGAGAGAAAGAATGTTAAATGAGAGTCAAAGATGATTAGAAGAGAGACGGACATGATGAAAAGAGTGTGTGTGTGTGTGTGTGTGTGTGTGTGTGTGTGTGTGTGTGTGCACGTATACATGTATATCATGTGTACAATGTATTTCAAAAGCGTCACCCTTCCAGTCACAGTGTAATAACAGCACCTTTATCAATTATAACGACTGACTTATTGCTAGCTTTCAACCAAGTACTATGTTGTTCAAAATACCTTCGAGAATTTGAAAGGGTGCCATAAACAGATTCCGGTAAAAAAATAATAAACCGCCTAATTAATTTGTTCCATTCAGTCTAACCTGCCTTAACCGACTCCAGTCCAAGATGGAAACATATCACAACGGAACCCCCCTACTCCTTTCTTTCATAAATTCCTCCATCATTCCTTCCCTTCAGAGGATTTTGATCCGTTGAAGATGGAAATCAGCACTTATAATAATACATGTATATTAATAACCTTATTTTATTGCAAGTGTCGTAAAACTCTTACTAAAACAAGACAAGAAGACGTAAAATGCTTTGCCCGTTCAGCCCTGATTGGAATATAATGTATAAACCTTCGAAGTTTGGTTTCATCGGCTCTATCTAACCAGGCGAGGATAGGGGTGGAAAGGGGGGGGAGGGGTGATTTGGACGGGGGTAGCTGTTTTCCGAGGCGCACACTTACGAACGCTTCACTGTTACCGTAGGGTTTCTTCAGTCTACTCTACTAAGATAGTCTAGCTGTTACCAAAGGTATAAGCCTAGGCCTTCTCAAAGCCTAGGTATAGCTCCATCCATGGGAGCCCTGAGCGGTTCAGATGTTCAGGGCGGTGTTTTTTTAGTTTTAATAGAGATTTTACGGCGCTCGCAACTGCATAAGGCATACGGTCATATAAGGGCCAGAAGATTAGAGGAGTTACAAGAGAGTAACAAACATAAAAAAGAAGGGGAGATAAGGACGATAGATATCTCATAGGAGGAAAGAAGAAGCAAACAATATCAGAGCACCCACCAACCAACCACCACGGTGGTGTGGGTGTTAAATCTCACCACAACTTGTGAACGTGATCGGATGGAGCTCAGCCAGGATAACTTTCCTGAACAGCCAGAGGTGTGAAATCGATTTGACCAATGCCCACTGCCCTGATAATACAGCCAACCGAGAAAAAAGTTCCTTGGGTCATTGTTACATGCGGGGGGGGGGGGGATTTCATTGGTTGGTTGTGTCTATTACGTTGATGGGTCGGGCCTAGGGTGAAAGCAAAGGAGACGTTCCATCATTTCTGTTTTTAATTGGTCAATCAGTGGTCCTATGGGATGCAAGCAGTGGCGGCAATGGATAAGTAACACTGGCGCATGCCTTATCAGAGAGACGAGAACAGCGCTTGGGAGGTGTGAAGTTTTGGCCACTTCTTGCCGACCGGACAGCTGACCCTTGATCCTATCACGTGTGGCTGGATGGCTGGCCTTGAAGCAAACTCCTTACCTTGAAGAAAACCTCTCACCCCTCCCTCCCCCAATTAATTCCCCTTTCTAAGACGAAATATTTTTTCTGGTTCCTTGCGTGATTTCCGTCTTGGACATGTCTGACTGTGTACATTTGTTTTAAAAGACATCGTTCACTGTATGTCCTGAACCTAAGTCATAGAGACAAAGTGCCTTAGAAAATATCATTGTCTCGTCGGTTGTATAAACTTTCCCATACCTTGAAAAATGGACTGTCGGGCTCGTGATCTCTATTTTGAGTCCGTAACGAACTAACCTCTGGTTACTTTTGCCTACCTCCTACCCCCCCCCCCCCCCCCCCCCCCCAACCCCCCAAAAAGAGGGGGAAAATCGAAAATGAAGTGGCTAACCGTACTTAGATCAAGGTTTAGCCCTTTTGACCGAAACCTGTTGAGTGCACAGGTCTCATTAGATCTAGATCTAGTAGTCATTTGGGTTTTAAATACATGCATGACAGTAAGGCACCTTTTGGTTTCGTCTGAAATACAAATGCGTTACCATTCAGTCATCATTATTATGCATGGCTGCCAGTCTAGCCGTACTTATTTTAGGCCCTATTAGACACCTGTTGAGTACACAGGTCTTATTAGTAATTATTCAGGTTTAAAATACATTTATTGTACATGCACTGTCAAAAAGGCACATTTTGGTTTCGTCTCAAATACAAATACATTGGGTATTGCAAACTAAAATAAATGTATTTACAATTCAGAAGGCCTATTTTTTGGCTGTTTGTCAGTCTAGCTATCATATAAATACGGCTAGCCCAGCCGACTAGACGTCATTCAGCACGCCTAGCCTGCCAGTCTAACCGTAGCCTCATCCATTTGAAAAAGAAAAAAGAAATGCATTGCATTGCACTTCGAACTTACTGCTTGCTCGTGAAAAATTATTGTAGGCCTACTACATTTCAATTACTTGCAGAAACGTATGTAAAAATAGTGATCCGTTCGTCACTGTCAGATGATGACCAATGCATCTGCAGAGGAGAATGTTTCTCGAGCGAAATAGATAGATAGATAGATAGATAGATAGATAGATAGATAGATAGATAGATAGATAGATACAGTCGAACCTGCCCTGACGGCCACCTCTAT